TAACATTTATTTGTTTTTTTCCCATTGCATTGCTGTTTAACAGTTTAAGTGTGTGTACATGTATTTTGTAATACAGAAAATTTATGTTTTCACAAAGAAGAATATACACCAATCGTAATAAAAAGTTACTTAACATTTTGTTGCTGTTGAAACGGTGTATTTTCAATGCCTCTTTTGGAAAATTATTAAGTCAAACTTCAACAGAAAACATATTACTTCTTTCTGTGAAGATAATTCTTTCTATCCATATCAAAATCATTAAATCGAAAAGAAAGTATAAAAAATCAGTAAGCCTTTATCAATTGAAATTTGAAAAGAAATAGCATTATTATTTGAGAAATTCTCCATCTTTGGGAAATAGAATTATTATCGACATGTACATGTATATAGGTATATTACGGATACATATTTTTATATGATAAGTATAACTGTAATTATTAAATATTAAAAGTTATACCAAACTCAGACGTTTAACTGCTTTTTGGATGCTATTTAAATATCATATCACTTCAATTCAAGTTAAATTTAATACTTTTTTACTAGGAAATTTGAAATGACGAGGTACGACTTGAGGCAAAATTGACCCTAAAATACATTTTGATTGAAAATTTTTCAAATTTGCAAAACTGAATTTTGAATCTTTGTACTTTAATAAAGGCATTTTAGCTTAAAATATTTTCCATTTATAGTATTTAGGCCACAAAAAGGAATTAAAATCAGACAATATTCAAATTTACCACAATAGTGACAATTTGACAGAAAAATGCTAAGAAAATAATTTGGAGCACAAGCTTCGTTTAAAAGGACGAAAATAACGACTATACATTCACAGAAGTATATACAAAACAACGAGGTAAATGTAAGAACGCCACAGCTTTTTTGTATTTGTATTCCAGATTATATTTGTGAATATATACATTGTACAAATAGCTACAAAATTTCTTTTGGCAAAGAATCGAAATCACTCTTTTTTAGTTTTGACATTGCACAAACTGATGCTTCTATCACTTTTATTTTGGCTGTTGAACAATGTCTTATTGCATTCGATATCACGTGCTTGTTATACATTTTTTGTAAACTGATAGGTCGAAGTTGAACATAGGTTTGACAAAAGTCATCAACATTTTCTTTTCCTTGAAATCTCTGTTTTTATTAAAACTTAATGAATTGAATCATCAAATTGTGTTTTCAGGGAACCTAGCAATGACTTATATGAACATTAAAAAGGTAATGTGTTTTATCTTGGTCTATGAATATAAACACAACAAGTGAACGAAACGAAAAAAAAAGGACAAAACGAGGTCGAAGAGTGTTCACCAACTCAAATTTCGAACATACGTAAAAGTAGCATGTAGAAAGTTTGATAAATGTATAATTTAGGAAATAATTTTCCTATGGTTTTTGTGAAGTTAAATTGAAATAAAATATTTAGAGACCTGTAAAAATTGAAAACAATTGGTTGAATATATATGGATATTGGTGGTCTGACATCTATTTTATGTTGAAAATTAGTAAAAAATACCATCAAAGGTCTGCCATGATCATCAAATTCTCTTATGACAAAAACATTGATATATAACAAGTGACAAGGCGGGATTTCATCCATTGGATAGGAATATGATTTTGGGGCTATTATTAGACATTTTCGAAAGTCATGGAAACTTATACCGAGACCAATACCTACACTGACTAAAAAATTAGAGGGACCGTATCAAAATGTCAAAATATACTAAATGAATTTGATTTAACATTTATAACTATATTAACGAGGTAAATTATATTTAAAATAAACTAATATATTTTTAATATGTTGACCCTTCAAATAGGGTGGATATCACATAGAAGAGGAAAATAACCTCGTAAATCTTTGTTTGACTCAGCAGAGGTAGAAAAAGAATATAAATTCATTATTCGTTAGTTGGTCAATTATCACATTCTAAGCAGAGCCAGTAAATCAACAAATCACTGAAAATATACAGTATTATATAAATATTTTATTAATGACTGTGCTCATTGTACACCTTGAGATGACCCCACCTTAATAAAGGTTATCTGTCGTCCTAGGCATAGGTGTAAGCGTCAGTATCGATAAGTTTATGATAATGTCTATTGCGAACATAAAATTTCTGGTTTTCTGGATTCGACACTTCTCAAATGAGTCGCGGAAATGGATACCCTTAATTATATTCAATATTGCATTTGTGTTCAGAATTTTTTTATTTATATGAAATAAAAAGACGTGGTATGATTTATTGAGAATGAGACAATTCTCCTCCATGGACCATTTGTCATAGAAGTTAGCAACTATAGGTCCCCGTACGATCTTCAAAAAATCAATGACCAAACCGATACCACATAAAAAGCTATAAAAAGCCCTGACCCGAAATGTCAAATGTGAAACAATTCAAACGAGAAAACTAACATTAAATTTGAGTTGGCTAATTTACTGAGTTCTGTTTACATGGTTTATTAATAATGAAACTTACCTTTCAATTTTGCAAGTTTTATTCCTCATCAATGACAATCGAACTCCCTCTTTGAAGTTTGTAATGTGTGCACATCGACAAAACCTATCGGCTGCTAAAAAAAAGTAAAATCACAAAGATACTGAACTCCGAGGAAAATTCAAAAAGGAAAGTCCCTAATCAAATGGCAAAATCAAAAGCGCAAACACATCAAGCGAATGGATAACAACTGTTATATTCCTGACTTGGTACAGGCATTTTCTTATGTAGAAAATGGTGGATTGAACCTGGTTTTACAGCTAGCTAAACCTCTCACTTGTATGACAGTCACATCAAAATTCCATTATATTGACAACGATGCGTGAACAAAACAAACAGAGACAATAGGTAAAAATGTCAAAATAGGGGTACAGCAGTCAACATTGTGTTATCATCTTAATCACTATAAAAACAAACAAATGAAACAAAGAAGCACAAAAAGGCATATATCAAATTTAACATCCTTATTTTGCTTTTTTTGTTATACGATTTTATTTATCTATGTAAAATCCACCCATAAAGGATGGAAGGTTTTAAGTACTGCCAATTTATTGAAATTAAAACATCTGTTTTATGTTTATAAATATGAAATATCATTATAATTATTGTTTGCCTTCTTATTTATGACTTTTTATTGAGCATTATTCGAGATCATTAAGTGATAATTTCAACTAACTAATAGAGCACTAGTATAACTAATAACGACTTCACACCAATAGTTTGAATAAAGTACACAATGGATACGCATTGGATCTGTAAGAAGATACTATTCGCCCTCCAGGTTCATGGTATCTATTTTACGAACCAACGCTGATCCGTTGTGTTATCTGTACATTTTATGAAATCTGTTTTATAAATACAAGTTCATTGGACACAGGTAAAACTATCCTGTACTAAGACTTGGGATGTGGTTACGACTGTTTTGAGTCTTATTTTTCAAATCTTTTAAAATATCATCAAAGATACCGGGCTTATGATTTTGTATGCCAGACGCAGATTTCATCTACATACAACGCATCAATATATGGTGCTTGGATGGAAACAGTTTGATGTAAAAAAAATCAAATCTTAAGCTAGGATACCAGATACTTTAGTAGTCGTACTGTTTTACATTATATGGTTGAAAGTTGAACAATTTTCCAGTTATTGTCATTTCAGGCACTTAACAAAACTTGCATGAAATACCATAGCCGTTGTGGATATATGACATTTGTCTTTATAATTGGTGTTGTTTTGTACATAGTTGACATATCAGTATTATCCCAAGAAATACATTGGTGGAATAACAGAAATATTTCCTTTATTCTGAATAACCTTAAGTTAGCCAGTTCTACCTATCACAAACATAATACAGCGTACATACTTTACCGTATTTTGAAAACCAGAATTGATGATGTCTGTTCATTTCCACCAGATAGTCTCTGTAAGTATAAAATTATTACAATTGAATCTGTAATCACTTTTTTTCGTCTTAATCGTTATCTTATATGGCTATGTTGTTGCCGTATGTGTGTAAGAGTATCAGTTAAAGTACAAATTGGAATTCAGAAGGATCCAGAATCATCCTAGTACAAATTTAAATTCCAATATCTACTACAAGTAGTACACATTGGAATTCTGATTTATACTAATTAAAAAATCCAGTACTTATTAGAATTCTAATATCTGCTAGTTGCTTACAGATTCTGGATCATATAGAATTCAAATTTGTACTGTAACATTTACGTTTTATGTGTGTTTTGTAATTTTTTCTGTATTTTGTCAATAACACATAAACGAAAAACATGTATTACAAGTTAAACAAAATGCACGATTGATTGAAGTTTAACACCACATTCAGCACTATAGTGCAATTTCGTGGCGGTCAGTTTTTATTGGTGGAGGAAACTGGAGTTGCCAGAAATAACCACCGGCCATCGGTAGGAAAATTGACAGTCCTGGCCAATTAGGATACACTAGAGATACAGTAGTTCGACTACCACAAAATGCATAAACCTGCAGTATATGAATTAACCTAGTAGTGATGAAAACGTAGAATAAATTGCAAATTAGTGGTCTAGAGCTTCATATCCTCTTATGATATCACGATCAGCGGAATAACTAAACGTGAATTGGAAATCCAAACTGCTCACCATTAAATTAAATACTGTTATTGAAATTAACATGAAGTAAAGTAAATGCATAATGACATACGCAATGAGTTGTCTACGTACTTATACATCACTGTCTTTCAAATACATTTAGTTTGGTTTGAGCGTTACTGATGAATTAAATCAAGAAACCTAATTCCGTCGCACAATATAATTTTATTATAAAACATTAACATACATATAAATGTTTTAATTTCATATCATTTATAAGTTCACGGGTTTTATAGATCAGGTCTCAAGTATTGTTATCTGAAGACATGTATACCATGTACAACATATGTACATAATTGACAAAATCTTTGTTTTCCCCTTATTTTCATTGTTTTTCCAACTCTTTCAGATGGGTATATACCACTGAATAGATCTGTTTTGAACATGACTATTTTGAAAAGTATTCATTCCTATATGGAAGGTGGACATTATGGACCACCCAACTGTACACCTGTACAGAAAGTTGCCATTATTGTCCCATACAGAGACAGAAAAAAACAACTCCAAGTCTTTTTGAATAACATGATACCAAAACTAAAGCGACAACAACTAGAATTTGCGATATATGTTATCGAGCAGGTAAGATTCTTAGAAAAAGACTTAAAAAAGAATTGATTCAGTCAAATGTAAATAATTGAAAAATGAAAGAAGATACCAAGGAGAAGGTAAAAAAACAATTATCAAAGAAAGACAGATATCAACATTACTAAGGCAGAGGCATACAAATTCCACATAACATCTTAACATAAAAACTATAAATTGACCAACCAAAACAAAAGGATGAACTCAGGTGATCAGGGATGATAAGTCAACTTTTTCTTTTGGTTTCACCCATTGTAAAAAGTCAAACACAAGAAATTGTGACTACGACAAGTTGAACATAAATGTATTTATCTGTCACATAAATATTCAAAAGTGAAATTCAAATAAACGTAAAACGTTCAAAGAGACGACTTTAAGAACACTTGTTTCGAATTCAAAAGCTGCCTTGAAAGCAATATATAATACCTCTTCAACATATTATCTGAATTATGTGCTAAACATCATTTTTGACATAAGCTCCTGCAATTGATTTTGGAATCGGGCGATGGTGCAGGCATGTTTAGATCAGCTTTCTAAGTTTCGATGATTTTACTCCCGGACCTAAATCTATATATTTACTCATTAGCTCTGCATCTGTACAATAAAAGCTAAAGAAAATTAATGATTCTGTCATTATTATAGATTTTACAGTTTTATACACGTTTTTAAGCTGTTGATGCTTATTGGATGCTGTTGATATTATCATAAAATATATTTATAATGCCAAATGATCGGTATAATATTTTCGTAATGCTTTAACATAACAAACATTTTAGAAATCCGGTTTGCCATTTAATAGAGGTATGATGGCAAATATTGGATTCAAAGAGGCCGTATCTGACATGGAATATGACTGTATAGTATTTCATGACGTTGATGTTTTACCCGAAGATGACAGAAACTTTTACGTGTGTTCTGACAATCCAATTCACATGTCAGTTAAGGTAGAGCAATTTGGATACCGGTAAGTTTTTCATAATATATTTTAAAAAGGATTCGTAGTCAATTTACAAAATATAAAATATGGGACGTGGTATGATTTGCAATGAGACAACTATCCACCAGACCCAGATGACAAGGGTTTAATCAACTATAGGGCAATGTGCGGTCATCAACAATGTCAAACCAAATACCGTAAAGTAAGCTATAGAAACCAACGATCTGATTTATGTAAATAAATAAACGAAAATCAAATATGACAAACAGCAACCAACGACAACCACCGATCTATAAGCTTCAGAATTGGAACAGGAGATAATAAATTTGGCCTGGTAAACAATGTATCTGAGCGCTCAATTTCCCCCATAACATGGGAGAGTGCTGTTACAAGTAACAAAAAATGTAAAAAGAACGTTAAAATTTATTTAAAATTTTGATATATAATACATTGATTTCATATTGTTTGTATCATACTAAACGGGACAAATTTGATTGGCCATTTTGATGTGAAAAGGTCTTTTAAGACTGATCAATACGTAAATAAGTCAAGCTCTGTCTTTCAGTTAAATTTCATACTTACTCACTGTGGTTAATTTAGTATTGTTCATACACATCACCTTCAGTTAATTAATTTAGGTTCAGTTCATTATCAGACTGTTTAGTGGTTGTTATTTACCTGACAATTCAGGAAAGTTATAATCGTCTTAAAAGCTACTGAAAAGTACAGGGTTTACGTCAAACGAACGTCTGAAAGTTCTGAATGTAAAATTAGAAAATATCTGAATAATGACTAAAACTCCTAACAATACTTAAGGTAGAATAACCGTAAACCGCCATCTTGGATTGTAAAATAGCAGTACACAATCGGTCTAGTTCTTTGCTTAAATCTGCAGACATATTTGCAATTAATGTGTAAGACTGTTTATTCAAATTAAGAAAAAAATAAGTGATATATTGCACTTTTCATACTGTTTTACCAAATTTTGTTCGATTCAATTTTTCAACTTAGCCATATAAGGGAGGATAACTCTTATAGTAATTTTAAAAAAAAGGAATGTTAATTAAATTATTATTTTGTCACTTGTATCAAGAAAACAAGTTCGATGACACCATTTTTTCTTTAACTTTCTTGAAGCATATTATAAAACCTAGCTTCTCGTATTTTATATTAAAATTTTATATCGTAGATTTCTGTTTATTCTCAAAAAAGTGTTTTTTTCATGAATAATTTAAATAATCTATGCAAAATTGGGCAACTATGCACGACTTGTAGCGTAAAAATTAGCACGCTGACCCTTTCTTTTTATTATATATTTTTGATGAAGAATGTTAAAATATACATTTTGTCATATTATAAGAAAATTCTATCTGAGGAAATATATAGTGATGATCCACTTTCTCTAAAAATAATTACTTAGTATTTTTCTGTATTTAATTTAAGTAAAAATCTTACTTTGAATTTACTTGCAATTACTTACTATTGGTATAACTAATTATTACTTACTATTAAGTAACATTTGTATAATTAAAAATGTAAGTAAATAAAGAATACTAGTATTTAGATTTACTAAGACTATTTTAATTTACTCAAATGAAGTAACACTTTAGTGAATGTTCTTCTAATTACTAGAAAACCCAATACTTATTACTAGACATGCTTTATATCTGTTTTGTAAAAAAGAATAATTACTAGATAATATTTTAACTTGATGTTGCTTAGGTAATTTACTTGGCGACTACTAAAAATGGTTACATTTACTGACAATTTAATCTATTTAATCTATCAGAAAAAATAATTTCACTTCAACATGGATTGATATAAGGAAAATAATTAGGTGTTTAGTATCCAGCTTTCACTGACACACATATTCAGACTTTTTTGCTTCTGAACAACTTTGATCTAACTATATAATAGCAAATTTCACAAGCTTTTGATTACTTGCAATTTCGTAACATAAAACTTTGAGTTACTTAAAATAATTACTTGCAATTACTCGGATTATTATACCATCATATTACTAAAGCTGACATTTGTCCATTCATGGCAATTTTCTGTTACAAAAACACAAACACTTATTGACTGGTTCTCATTGATTTAGACACTAATTGACCTCATATATGTATTACTAAAAACAATTATGAATTCCAGTTTTGAATAGCTAGTATTCGATAAGAGATTCAGATTAAGAAGTTCTGCCTATTAGAATCGATCTTTCATTTGGACTTTGCTTAGCTGTGATCAGACTTTAATTTGAAAATTTGAACAATGCTGAGTTGGATGAAAAGTTTCCAGTTTTTTATTTTGACATTCATAAAAGGAAGGGAGAAATTCACAATAAGATTGGAACGGTATTCATCTTTCTGGCCACTGTTTGTACTCTTTGGAATGAACAAAAAAATATACATTAAAGAGATAGTCCATATATTGAATGGTCATTCTTGAAAGGTTAGTTACAACTTTAGAATAATACGATTTTATGATAAAACAATTGCAGTCTTTGTATATCGGTCATTGCATGTTGGTTTTGACCCATGAACGTATTCTGTCTTAATGCTGCGTTTTCAATCAATATACTTTCATCATGTCAACAAAAACATGTGTTGATTAATACATGTAATGTCTAATGACTTATATGAAAAGGTTATAATTATATAGTTAACGTAATTACACAGAATTACTAGGTTTTACTTTCAAATATCTGCATTTTCTTAGGTTATTTCTTTGAATAACTTTTGATAGTTCTAGTTATTACTTATGATTACTTCTAGAATTACTTGTAATTACTAATAATTTAATTTTTAAACATTACTTGCTTTTACTATAAATTACCAAACCGTCTTACTGGGAATTACAAAAAATATTGCTTGCAATTACAGAGAAATGAATTACTAGTTTTTGCTAGGCATTACTAATAACTACTACCCATAATCAATAATATTGACAATTTCAATTACATGTGTAAAAAGGGAAATAAAACAAATACTCCCAAAGATGGATGATCAGACATAATGTTATAATACACACGACCCTTTGGATAGTTTTAAATAACCAAAAGGAAGAGGAGGGGTACCTGTTCTGTGCCCAAACAATGGTCAAGCAGAATCAGGAAACTGAAAGACGGAAATGAAAGGATCATAGCAATCAGTATTGCAGCAACCAATGGTATTTGCCATATAAATCATTATATGCCAACCCAAAATTCTGACTCTCATTCCGAATATACAGAATATAAAAATAAGGAGATGAGGTATGATTGCCAATGAGACAACTATCCACCAAAGTTCAAATAAAGTGGATGTAAGCAATTAAAGGCAACCGTACGGCCTTCAACAATGAGAAAAAACCCATACCGTATAGTCGGCTATAAAAGGCCCCGACATGAAAAATATGAAATAATTCAATTGAGAAAACTAACGGCCTAATTTATAAAAAAATAATTAACGAAAAACAAATATGACAGACATGAACCAGTGACAACCACTGAACTACAGGCTCCTGACTTTGGACAGGCACATACAGAATGTGGCGGGGTTAAACATGTTTGTGAGCGTTCAACCCCCTCCCCTTTTAACCTGGGACAGTGATGTAACAGCACAATATAAGAACAAACAATAAAAATCAGTTGGAAAAAGCTTAACTCATCAAATCAATACAAAGCAAGTAAACATAAAACAAATACACAGACCGGGCGTGGCAGGATATTTATCCATCCCTCATCCCTATCAACAAAATGGACATTAAGTACAGATCCTAGATTACTTGCAGTTACTGACAGCTAGTTCAAAGCCAATAACAACTAATACAAAAATCATGTATCTAAGACTAAAATATCAATCAGTAAACATCCAACATCCAAAGGATTTAGTGTAAAGACGTCATTAACAGTCAGAGAAAAACGTGACCTTGTGCAATGCCAAAATAAAGGTATCGCAGTACCGTTAAGGTGCATATCTGTATAACAAAACTATTTGGTTTGATTTTAATTTACTGATAACAAAATCAATGTTTATACCAATAGAAACAATATTCAAAGATCTAATTACAGTGTTGAATTTGTAACCTTTTAGAATAAGTTTATTTAAAGGATTGATAAGTTTACCCGGATCGTATATAAATTTCCGGGCTCGGTTAACAACATCACCGTACAATTTAGAATGTGCTGTTCCGTTTGAAATAAGTTTTACAGGTACAGCCATACTTGCAAACCAAATTTTTGTATCTATGGAAGAATTAAGTAAAGGTTTTAAGTAATTTGTGCTAACGAAATCCCTGACTTAATAATTTACCAGTAATACATAGGTAACGCTCATTGAAATCCAAAACGTCACTGCAGACACGGGCATAAACAAACGAGTTGGGATACATAAACACCGTAAGATGGTACAAGGAGAACATCACCGTCTAAAAAGGAAAATTAACAATAGGGAAAGAAAAATCATCCCTGTTGTCGTAAATTTTTGTGTAGAGTTTCTGGTGTAAAACTGAAATGTCTAAATCTAACAAAGGACACTTATTGCTGTTAATATTTTATTTATTTAAGGTAAGCTCCTCGGGGTATATTTGGGCAGTATATTTAGAGAATTCTTGATTATTTAACGAAAAAAATATCATCACGGTAAATGTTGTTGAATTTATCAATTAAATGGAATTTAGATGGGTCTTTACTGAGTTTGGCAAAACTATGATTCATAACAATACAGGAACAAGTCTGATATTAAAGGCGCACAATTGGCGCCCATAAGAATACCTACAATCCGTCGATAAACTTTATTGCTGAAACGTACATAAATGAACTTTGTCAAGGAGAAAATTTATGGCTTTAATAATTTCATCACACCTCCAGTAAATATATCTAGCATATTTACCTGAACATTATCTTTATACAATACAAAAATATGAAAATACTCACAAAATTGTACTATTGGGAGACTTAAAATGAACATTACAAACATCTAGAGCAAACAAACATGACAAAATGCTTAGGAAATTCATTAAGAACATGAATCTGACTACTGGAGTCGATTTAGTAAATATTCACACATTCTTCCATCACGCTAGCAACTCCTCGTCGCAAATTGATTACTTGCTGGTTCAAGATAAAAATTCAGTAGTAAACTACAATTGAGAAAAAATCCTGTGCAAACCCTTCGGCACATACAATTGTAAAGATGGAAATAGCTTCTCAAATGACAAAGATCAGAAAGTCAAACCAACAAAATAATAAAGCAAAGTACAAAATGTTATGGGATCAAATTGACAAAATGAATTACAATAGTATCATTCAAAGTGATATATGCTCAATTGAGAATGCAAACAATTGTAAACATACAATTATACATATTAATGGAAGCATTGATATAATGCAGGAAAAATAACAATTCCAACTAAACTGTTGCAAACGAAGGGTCTAAACTGGAAAGCCTCTCCTGAAATCCTTAAAATTTAAAAATATGTAGAAAAATATATAAGAAATGGCAGAGTGCTGGAAAATCAAAAGAACACTTCTTAGCAGATGAGCTCAAGAATGAAAGAAGAAGCTAAGAAGCAAATTAAGAGAAGAGCAAGCATTGGACGGACAGAAACTTTACAAGCAAATAATAAACAATCCTAACACACATCTATTCTATAGGCTGATAAATAGGGACGGAAGTAACCATCGAACAACAACCTATTGTCTTAAAATCAATGGTGAATACATTTACCTTCCTGAAGACCAAAGGATGGGCGTTGCACATAACTATGAAGATCTAAGTATCCCTAAAGTAGAACAGTAAGACTGTAGTTATTTAAATTTATGTAAAGTTAGACAAAGCTGTATTCAGAAGGCCTTAAAACATTGTACAGATGTTCCAGAATTGTTTAAAGAATCTGAAATGGAGAAAGCAATAGATTGTCTTAACACCAAAAAACGTCTTGATGAATTTGGACTCACAGCAGAACATTTAAAAAAAAAATGTAACACCTGCAATAACAGCAATATTTAATAACATCTTATTACTAGTATATACTAGGAAGGTTCTAATCTCATTCAAATCAGGTATACTCACTCCAGTGCCTGAAAAAATAAGGATCCTACTGTGTTAAGTAATTATAGAGGTAAAACAGTGACACCAGTTACTGGAAAAAAATTTGAGTACTTATACCTAAACAAACTGAAATTAGAATAAAAAAACAGACGTACAGCATGTACAGTTTGGCTTTACAAGAGGTATGTCTCCAATAATGGCCAGACAAATTATATCATAAGCTAGATATGAGGGAAAAAAAGGATCCGAAAATTTCTATATAAACATTCTGGACGTAAAATCTGCATTTGACGTAGAATAACATTACATTCTGATGGATAAAATACTGAACCAAGAAATATATCCAGTGTATTGGAAGGGCCTTATAGAAATTATAACGACTTGACATCAAAAGTAAAATAGCAGGACGGTACTCCATGTAATATCAAACAGGGTGTGAGACAGGGAGGTATATTGTTCACTTATCTTTATAAAATCTTCGTCCAAGATCTTCTTGTAGAATTAGAACAAAATGATATCGGATATCACCTTGGAAATATATATGCAGGCACCCCAACATGTGCTGACGATATAGCATATGATATGCCAATGAACATCGTTATACTATACATCCAATGAAAACCCAAGTTATTGATATTTAAAGACAAAAAGCAACTATAAATTGAATCTAGATGGAAATGAGGTAAACAATGCTGAATCAGGTGTACACCTAGGTATTATAAGAGCTGAGAAGAACGATGGTCAAATAAATATTCAAGAAAGAATACAAATTGCAAGAAGAACGAAATATGCACTAATGGGGTCAGGAGTCCATGGGACAAATGGTCCAGATCCTCCAACCTCGTACATTATCCCCGGCTTAGTATATTTCTAGGAGTTTGATTGGTTAACGCACGTCGTTACAAAACCCATAGCCCCTGGGTGTTGCTAACCCATGTCCCCGGACGTTGCTACCCATTACATCGGGGAATTTCACGCGCGTATTCCTTAGTTCCATGGTTGATCTTTATGAAATATCGAATTCTGTAGATTTTCCATGATGTCTGTATAATTAAATACGTAATCCACTAACGATTTTATCTAATTATATCGATTATTCGCACTCATTTTAGTAAATGCATCACTATGCAGCCACATTGTCAATGAATGGTACTACTGACCTAGCTATGCAAATGACCCACGTTGACGTCACACCGTTTATGATGTAACTCTCACAACATTGCGCGCCAAATTCGACCCATTTCAGTTTCTCTGTCTTTAGTTTAAAAACTTCTTATATTTGTCTACATGTAGGGTTCTACCAAAGGTAGTACCCTACACCCCGTTAAAAATATGTCAAATTCCCAAATTTCAATAAAAGATATTTAAAAAATGAAAAAAACGTTGCTTTCACGTTAAACTTTGTGGTCGAATTTCTCTAAAAATCGCCAGATTTAGACTAAGACCGGGGATAAATTCGTTATCTACGTTCATATCCGTAGATATGGATATTTTAACACCCTTCAGTACAATATACACCCTTCGGCTGCGCCTCAAGGTGTATTTGGATACTTCAGGGTGTTAAAATATCCATATCTACGGATATGAACGTAGATAACTTATAATATCTATAAACATATGTTGTACCAAGACTTATATGACACTAGATACAAAGTACAGATCAAGGAATAACTACAGCTACTTGAAGATAAATCTAATTAATGTATAGCACATGTTTTCCGAGTAACGTATCGATAAAATGGATTTAGTGAAATACGCTTTCGGCGTATACAGGCAAAGTGCGTCAATGATTGTCTTGTTATTAAGTAACAATGATGCTGGAAAATGTCTTATGGATCATATTGAGTATCCTGATAGAATTCTATCGTCAGATAATTTTAATGTATTTGAAACATAGTTTTAAGACTATAACATTTAATAATCTGAAGCCGAGAAATATCTATGTATGATATGATTATTTTATTATGTTGTAACTGTTGATTCGTTTCAGTTTAATATATGAAAAGTTGGCAGGTGGAATAATAACATTCTCAAAAGAGCAGTTCGAAAAAATAAACGGATATTCCAATCAGTTCTTTGGATGGGGAGGAGAAGATGATGACTTGTATAGAAGGTAAATATTGTAGTCAATAGAAAACAATTAGCATTCCTTATCGAAAACCATACTTTCCTTTTTGAGAAATCCAGAAGAGTTGGTGATTTTGGTAAGAAAACGAGAATTGTTTACAAATAGTTACAACAAATTAGTTCTTAGTATGTAGATAAGAAATCTTGCAGTACATCACTTATTATCCCTTGCTACACTTTACATAAATGTTCATTCAGTAACGTAATCAACTGTATACAGGAAGACACAATTTTGTGCAATCCCTGAAACAAACAATGCAGAAAAACAGATGAAATATTTAAGTATTGCTTCAAAATATAAATAAACAAAGTGATATTAAATAAAAGAATTTTGTCAATTCGTACCTAATGGAAGATTTATATGTATGCAATTTCGTACCTCATGTGATATTCATATGTATGCAATTTTGTACCTTATTGAAGCTTATATGTATACCGTTGTGTACCTCACGGAAGATTTACAAGTGTGCCATTTCGTACCTAACGGAAGATTTATATGCATGCCATTTCATACCATATATCTCAAATTGAAAAAGCCATAGCAAGTGTTTTGAACAGTATTACCCTACAAAGCTGGATGAGAAATGTAAAGTTTTCATCAATTTCCTGCATGAAGAATATTATAAAGTCACAGTTAGTATCTACTTGTGTGATAAAATTTTGTAAGAATGTTCTATCTAGAAAAAGCTTTTAACCTTCAAAATTCGATGTACACCTTGAAATTAGGTTTCTACTTGTATGTTAAGTGTTGAAAAATAAAATGTTCCTTTTTAGATTTGTCAAATCGTTTTTGTTAACCTCAAATGAAAAAAACTTCGTAACATCCATCAGATCGATATAATTATTATCACGTGCATTGTTAACATAGTAATTCAAATACAAGAACTTATCATTGTGGCTGCGATACAACTGATTGATATGCCATGACAACCGCTAAAATGATTTTTCCAATCCAAATATCAAAGTATAAGTTCCTATAATTTTAAATCATCTTTGGAAACATATTGCTATGCAAACACGTATCTATTTGCGGACTCAATATTCTAGATTAGATTCTATTTCTAATGGTAACGGCTTTGAATAATAAGCTGTGGCAGTTTCCATCTTAAAATATTCATGTTGTTGTCTTTTTTAAATTTTAAATATAAAATCGTTTTCGTATCACTTATGGGGAGGAAAAGATGATGACTTGTATAGAAGGTAACCTTATTGATCCACTTTCCTATATTAAAACCTTATGTTTATTTTCCCTCATGACACAATATGTCGTTAACATAAACCAACCCATGTGTTACCCAGTTTTGCAATATGTGTTAAATCTATTTCCCCAAACAATTTCTTTTCGAATATTCTAAAAGTGATCTGTAAATTATGTTAAACCTACTCCTGATTTCATCCAACTCAAAATTACTTGTAAATAAAAATCTGGTATTTTCCCGATTCTTTGAGTGAAATTACATTATCTAAACTTAGGTTAAACACAAGAAACTTTTACCCAGATTTTTGCAAAATTTGGTAGTGATAATCTTCAAGTTAGGCAAATATTTCCAGAACATAGAAAGTACCAAACGTTTCGATTTTATAATCATAGATTTTGATATATCCATTTTTTAACTTCACAGAAGTGTTGTATCATCAACAAATTAAGATATTTTGATATTTTGATGTTATGTGTTTTATTATCTATAGTAATCAGGACACCTTTAATGTCTGAGGATTTGCAACTGATAAAAGATAAAGGACTTCTCTTATATAGAGTTTACATACAAGATATGAATGATTAACTAAAACTAAAATGTTTTGAAACGCTTAGCATGAATTCTTATTCTAAAGAATCAAAAGATTTTGTAATTGGTCAAATATGACAGACGCAGTTTTCTAGGTAATTATGTCAAACATGATAGAGTATTTTCAAATTTACGTTTTATAATTGTTTAGGACAATCATTGTCTAAAGGATGAAAGTCTTTTTCCTGATCATAATTATTATCGTTTTAGGATAAAATTCAACAAGTATGAATTAATTCGGCCGTTTGAAGATTTTGGGATTTGTGGTAGTGTTAACCACGAGCCTGCTGAAAAGAACAGTGATAGGTATTTCCAAAATGATAATTATGTCAATTTTCATATTTTGAATAATAAAGATAATGTCATATCCGATACCTTTATAGATATTCCATATTTCTATATGTAGGTCACCGGTACAAATGTCGAATATTGAAAATCAAAATGATGTCTGAAAACATGGGAATTTATAAATATAGACGCTCAGCATTCAACACACAATAATGAATGCTTGGCATACTTCATTTCTTTACATCTGAGCTAATTATCGAAACCTAATCCATCTATGTATTCGATTTTCATCTCTAAAATCGGTCAAAAAAAAAAAAAAAAAACGTCAGCACATCGGCTTCTATTTTCTGAATTTAAATATAAAGGAAACGGGTATTAATCAGTAATAAAGCAACCGAAATACAAAAAAAAACAAAAAAAAAAACAAAAAAACCCAAAAGACATCCTAAGGTCAACATACAGTCTCAATATAACTAAAATACGGGAGTGTATCATGCTAAAAAGTATCCAAAGTCTAACATAATCAGAATGAATAAGAGTTTAAAAGCTCTAGGCTGAACTACACACTGTTTTGGTTATAAAACCAAATATAAATATCCGAAATAACAAAACATAGATGAATTCCCGACTTTGGACATAATTTTAATTTGAATGTAAAATGTATCTATTTTATATAACGTTATAGTTCAGATAACAGAGCATACAAAAAATACAGGAAACCCACTTTATCCTATAATAATTCGTCTACACGTTTAAGTACATTGCTTATACTTAAAAGGACAACTGATGTGTGTTCCTTTTTAATCGTCGAAGTGTTGCGAGTTTTCAGCGGTACTTCAATAACTTATTAAAATATAGGTACACATGCATTGTGCCAGCTGTATAATGCTATAAGTGTGTATGTGTTCTGGTCCTTAAATAAAATAATTCTTTACTTATATGATATCAGATCAACGTTAACTAAGAGATACCGACAAAACCAAGACAAAAACAACAAAAGAACAACGGTGAAAAAAAAGTCTACAAAACACTTCATATAAAGGCTGAGAAGTACGATCCCAACAACAACCGGGGTTAATCTCAGATGGTCTATTAGGGTTATCGTACCCTGCTCCACAAGTTCCATCTGTTTTTTGCGTGTTGCTAATAGTAAGTACAAGTGCGGTATCAAATCTAATTTGATGATGTCGCAATGGAGGTAAAGATGATGGGAGAATGATTTCGACAAATCAAAATTATCCGTGTTCATCTGACAGTGAGCTTTATTATCTAAATATAATGCTTAATTAATAACAAAACTGAGTTTTATCTTACATGTATACTAAGAAAACAAAATCTGAACTGAGACAAACTTTTCAATATCTACTATATGTATTGAAGTTTTGATAATCAATTGTTTTTATCGACAAAAAGCAAGTCACCTCTTCCATTTAAAATATGTTCTTGTCATAAATGTGTCATATCATGCAAACAATTCCAAACATAATCTGGATTTTTTTAATTCTCAACTTTCAAGTTTTAAACAGTCATAGTTTTCCAAAGTTATCTCCGTACTGTCAATTTCTATGAGTTTTAGCACATTATGTTGCTATCAGTTGATAACCAAACTTCATGCCAAAAGAGATGATTTCAGCTTCCCAATTGTTTACTTTCTTTTTCTATACAGAAACATTTCAGCAGCGCCTGCATCTGGATTATATATCTACCAGTTGATGCGATATTCTAGAGTTTGCAATTCCAATCAGGATTTCCTTGATAGAAGTTTGCTGCTTACAAGGAAGTTATTGAACCAAGAACATAAAGTGGTGACGTTGAAATCATCCCTTCAAAAAGTTTACGGACGCCATCACGAGTTGGTTGACCGTTATAGAATATCTGTTTAACAGATGACGACGGATATGTTCCAATTGTCGTAACCACAATCCCGTCCTATTTTACTGGAATGTGATCTACGTAATTAGACTTATCACCGGGTTTGTACTTTCATAATATGACGACGGGTGCCACATGTGGATCAGGATAAGCTTGTCCTTATGGAGCACCTGAGATCACCCCTTGTTTTTGTTGGGGTTCCTGTTGCTCAGTCTTTAGTATTCCATTTTTGTTTTGTGTACTGTTGTTTTTCCATTTGTCGTTTTTTTTTTGTGGTTTTTTGCCTTGACATTGTCAGTTTGATTTCGCCTTGTGAGTTTGAATATCACTTTGATATCTTTCGTTACTCTTTTCTCATACGACTCCATAGAGACTAATTCGTTTCAATTAAAAAATGACCGAAATTATCATTTTGGTCAAGTACTCATTTGGAAAATCAACAAAATTTGTCAAGCCTTATTTAAAAATTAGACGAAAAAGTTTAAATTACCAAAACAGGTTGTAGTTTAGCGTTTTGCAATTACAGTATCAAACTGTTCAAATAAAGACTCATTTGTAATATAATAAGTCTTAACCTGGAAAATCGACTTCATAGATGAATTTAATGAGGTGATATCAGTTGTCATTGATTATACAAAGAAGAAAACTCTTTATCACTAATGTTCATGGCTGCTAAAGAAGATTTCAAAGAGAATTAACTACTATTGTAACGGGAAACATTGCTAAGGACTGTTGTTGAGTATTTGATAATAACATAACTTCATTATAATAAAGCAGCAGGTTCATTTAATCATATTTGATAAATCAAAATATTGCGTACAATTTGCGTAAACACAAAATGGTCACTGATGCAATACTTGTACATTTTTATTATTAACAGAATTGTATCATATAACGTTTCCTAATTTTGTTTTATAAAATGTAAAAAACTCTGAGTGATCCTCTTGGGGTTGAAAATAAAACCGCAACAAGCACAATACACAATCTAAATTATAAAACGTCGTAGAACTCAGTCATGAAGAAAATTGAAATCACAGAAGAATATTCGAATTTGTTTAGTCATTGCTGAGGAATATTATGTTTATCTCACTAACACCTTTATCAAAGTATTATAAACAAAATATAGATGCTTTCAAGTTTCATCGGCCTCAGTATCTGTCGCTTGTCTTTCAATGATACGCTGACAGTTTAGTTTAGTTTTGATGTTTTGTAAAAAGTTTTTTGTGTTTATATTACAGGAGAAAATTTTTAAAATATTCGTATGAAGTGTGGAAAAATGATGGATTAAGTAATTTGAAATACAACCTGTTACGGAAAGAAAAGAAACATTTGTATAGATGGATATATGTCAGCATATAAATGAACATACAGAATCTGGTAAGCTACAATATTTCTATTAAATGATATGTTTGGTCGTCGATTGTAGCTTGTTCTGAAATATGGAATTGTCGGCAGTATTTTATTAGTTTACTAATTCAGTTAACAGGAACAAATTTTGTGGTAATGAAAGTGTTTCATTATGAATCACTTACCTTAATAGAAAGACAATTTCATTCCTCGTAGTAACATTTCTATTGTTTTCCATGCTATTTTGATATAATTTCTATTTTTTCCAGTTTTTCTTAGGACTCTTTTCGTTTATTTTAATTTTATTCACATGTATAGTTTTCCTGCTAAGAGTTGGTGGTTCCCTCAAAATACACTGGCTTCCTTCGCCAAAATACTAGCATGGTATATCAAAGGTCGCTAAAAGTGGTGTTAAACACAAACAAACACAACAAATCGTATGATTAATAATAACTTGCATTAATCATTGTAAATATTACGTTTTAAATATGTATTTAGAGAAATGACATTCTGTAGTTTAACTTTTGTGTTGTATAGTCCTATACATCTTCGCTAGCCAAGGGTTACGATTCACTTCCCTCCTCTTCACCCTTGGCAGATTAAGCCAACATTTGTGATAGCAATGTTGCGCCATCTATCGGTAGATTAAAGTCACGCCAATTCCGAATACATTATTCTTGACCAATGGTAGCACTTGAACTCTAATCGATCTTCAATGTGGAGGTAAAAACACGATAGCGTCTAGATTCTACACACTTGGTAAAGCAGGAAACGAAAATATACATTCATGCATTTGTGCAAGAAACATACACAGTAACTTATATTAGTTGATTAAAAACATTCAAATTGTCACTAAATATAGTCGTATGTTTAGGGATGTAAAGACTTGTTGCACAATAAGCACATTGCAGTTGTTTACATACACTTTCTACATTTACACGTAATCATGTTATAGGCACTTTTTGATTGGATGCAGCGAGTTTCGACTGCAACCAATGAAAATCATTACCTTGTGTCTCCGAAATTCTATCTCAATCCGCCAAGGGTGAAGAGGAGGGAAGTGGATCGTAACCCTTGGCTAGCGAAGATGAGTCCTTTAATTATTATCTGGCTTCTAACTGATTTTCAGTTAAATCGATTAATGACTATTGAACAGCGGTATACTACTATTGCCTTAATTATTCTACATTGTATTCAGTCGAACTTTAAACTATAACATCAAGATAAACGAAATCAATTTGTCGAATATGTCATAAATGGTAGAATTGAAGAGCTTATAAACCATCTCGATATATTTACCTTCGATAGTTATGAATAAAATGAAAAGCATATGATGAGTGCATAAATTCTAGTTTTTAAGTCGTTCATCTGTGTCAATTTCGAGGAAAGATCAATACATGAAGGGGACAATAATTGCTATTCGATATTTGAAAAAACTTTTGGATAAAAAGAAACTGTATATTCGAACTTTAGATAGTTAAAAATTCGATACCAATCGATTTCTTACAATTTTTTAAAACTGGTATTCATATTAATAAAAATACAAATAAAAGGAACTGAAAAAAAGTTTGATGAAATGCATATTTTAGTGTCTACTACACAAATAATACAAGATGATCTTGAGTTATATATTCTGGGTGCTGACGATGTGTATTTGTTTATTTGCTTTACAGTTTTCCCTTTGTTTGTCTTCGTGTTATTGTGTTTCTTTTGGTCTTATGACTTTTGACGTGACTCGGTATCTATGGATCCTGCTATCGGGTTTGTGACTTTGTACGTTCCTGGTGCAGGTGGGTCCTGAGGAGCAATTCGGAGGCAACAGGGTTATTTTATTACAGTGTTGTTTCCATTTTGTTTACCTTTGTATTTATATTTTACTTAAATTGTATTTTATCGAGAAGGTGTGTGCTATATACAGTATGTACTATCAACTACAAAACGTTTTATCGGCGTCTTTGGCAATATACTATCAACTACAACACCGTTTGATTTGTCAGGTTTTATGGACTTCCTCTTTACGAATGTACCTTGGAGTTCGGGTTTTTTTTTAGACTTTTTTTATTTTTATTCAGTGACAGCGCTAGCACATCATTACATCTGAAAGAGAAATTGAACAAATCGGCAAGAAGTGGTGCACAATTAGTTTCCATTGGAATACCAACTGTCTGTTGAAATATCAATTCATCAAACTCAACAAATATGATGTGAAATAAAAAGTCCAGCATTTTAATGATATCATCCTTAATGGATATATAAGTACACATGCTTCAAGTTCGTACTTTATTTGGCCTTTCTAATTTCTTTTTGTTTGAGCGTCACTTATGAGTCTTTTGTAGACGAACAGCGCGTCTGGCGTACAAAATTTTAATCCTGGCATCTATGACGAGTTGATGATACATACATTTTCAAAGACTTGAATGTTGCTACGTATCTGTCACTTGACATGAATGGCTTGTTAATGGAATTAGGTATTGAAAATCCATTTGTAAACTCAACTCTAACCATACCTACCAAAGTGGAAATCCTGAATAATCATTTGTCTGTTCTATGTTCCTTTGGAATGCAAACCAAAGATGAAGAACTGGATCTTCCTTCACTGTATTGAAAACCTAATTTACATACGTTTTGGTTAATACCACGGCAAAGTGAGAGTACAAAAGTAGTATTAAACTACGACAATATCAAATTTTATTTGATTTTCAGTTTTTTGTAGGTCCTTTTTGGTCATAAAACTCTTCAACTAATGATTTATAACAAAGTGTTATAAAAAATTGTCCGTTTATAAATTTTGAAATTATATAGAAACTAAGGCTTCAACTCCCTCAGACGGGTCGATTTGGCTCTATTATTAAGGTCCTTTTTGGTCATCTCTGGTGCGCGGCGTAAATATAAGTTTTACGTAAGGACTTATTGAAACCTCCATGGAGTCAGTAAACTTTTATATGGATAGTTCATTCAGCTTGAATACTTCAATTACTCATTTATTATCAATTTTCTTGCATAGATGTGTGAAAGTTACCCCAAAGTTTTGTTTTATTGGCCTAAATAGTTGAAATTTTAAGGAAATCAGAGGTATAAATGGACCAAAAGGGACCTTATAATGAAGACAAAGAGGTCCATCATTGGTATTTATCATCATAGAGTCATCTTTTGTATTATATTCAACTGTTTGTATGCAGATGAGATAAATATTTGATCATTTATTGGTCCACACTATATTCCATCATGATGCAGCTTGGTTTGGATAGCAAAGAAATTTTGCTCGAATCGCTGTAGATGTCGTCTTACATTATAAAAACTAGATTTTTTCTCAAACTATTGAACTGATTATGACAAAACTTGACGGTAATGCTTAAAATAACTAGTATTACAAAGGAAAAAAATCACATTCAGTTTATCCAACAAAAAAGTCTTCTTTAGGTGTAATACCACCAAATCATAGAACGTCACATCCGGTTGCATACGAAAAAGGGTCGAAAAAAATATTTCCTTGAATTTGACAGTTGTAGGAAATTAATCCTACGTTTCATTGCAGCAAAAATAACAGAGTCATTAACATATATCTTGGGTGTTTCAAAGCACCATTCTTTTTTATTTGGTGTTTCTATAGAATATTTTGGAAACTTGTGGTTACATTATTACTAAAGCTTGTACACAGGAAAAAAAGAGTGAAAATTTGATTGGTTAATTTCCAGTGATGGTTATTTTCTTATATGCAATGAAATGTTATATGAAATTTTGTCTGTAGTGCTGGACAGGATAAAACTTTACTAATGCCAAGTATTTCTTTATTTGAAAAAAGATAAGTTCTGCACAATTTTTTGAAAAGTGCAAATTTAACAAAGACTAATAGGGGAAAAACAATGGTGGTATTACACCTAAAATACCATGAACCCCTATTTACATCATGATGATTCAGTATCACACTTTGTTTTTTAACTCCAATCCTTTGAGCTCAAACGGTAACGGTTCGAAAACTTTGTAATAACATAAACAGGACCAATTTAATTCACAAGATGCGCATTTCGACAAACAATGCCTCTACAGTGATGCACTTGACAAAACTTCTTGAAAGTACAGAACATAAAACAAATGTTAAAGAGCCAATCAAGCCAAAACAATATTGGTACGTAGAGTGTGTCATAAATTTACTGTAATCGACATATTATAATCGTATCTTGTTTTTACTAATTGTGTTGTGATTTGATTCTGTTAACTTTTGTAGGTTTTAAGTCAACATGATGGCAGTAGCGACGAATGCATTGGTAAAAGATGTGCACACTCACACACAAGAGAAAATAATATGAAATTGTTTAAAGACCCAATAAAATGGATCCAAACTTTCATATTTTTTTTTATTCTCTTGGATACTTAGTTGACATTTTTAACTATTTCAACCAAAAAACAAATGATGCAAATATTTGAAGAAAACAAAAAAGGAGTTTGCAGATGAGTAAAGTCCTTCCTATGGCTAGTATAATTGAACAATTATTGCATTGATACAGATACGAATGCAGGAGTCACCTAAGACATGTGCTATCAGGACTCTCAACCAAATATATATTTATATCAAGAATTATGCGCTGCACATGTATACAAATCCAAAAATGATGCCAAGCCCTCTTCACGTTCGAGAACTTGTATCCCATCCAACGTATCTTAAATTTCCTTTGGCAGTCTAAATTTTCCACCCGTCATCCAGGTAAACCTACCTTGCAGATCCTTCATATTGCTTTGATGGTTAATTGGTTTTCCGTCCTAAATTTGCACGAAAAATTTGCTACTGTACGTGAAGAAAACAACAATCAATCAACCTAAATACATTAAAACGTTGATTTATTAAAACTTAGTTCAAGGTTTACTTGTGTTAGGACTAAATTTATGATAATGATGCAATTTCCTATGCATTATGGCTAAAAGGGATAAAACAGTGAGAGGCAATAGAAATAAATCATATCAAAAACTGTTCATCTATTTATTTAAATGGGTATGTTATAGTTCAAATAAGATAACCATTGTTTCATTTTAACTAATTAAACCATCCTTAGAAGTCAACTTAACAAAAGTGTCAACATATGTTCTGGCAATCAATAGTATAGTAAACGACTCTCTGTTGCTAGTGAAGTACAGCTCACCTTCAATCATATCATTTCAGTCTCTTTTCATTTCCCCTCTAGTAATACCGTGATATATACCTTTCTCAATCTGAGGAGAGACTATTGATTAATTCAATGTTTTCAATTTGATTTTCACTTTGAATAAAAGATAAATAATATTGAAAGGCAACGTTACACGTGAAATACAAATCAGGTAATTACACATTACTACCTTTTAATGTTTTAAAATATAGCAAAGTGCTCTTGAACAATGAAATTGTAGGATTGGATGCCTCTTAATTGTGAAGAATGAAGGTAAATCATGTTCTTAGTAAGGGATTATCCTATTATTTGTGTCAACAAAGAGTTTCTATAAATGAGTTACAACTGCCCCGAAGCACATTTATCAGATTGAAAGTATTTTTTACACATTGATTTAAACTGACTAAAAGTTGATTTGGAAAACAAACAAAAAACTCAAAATAAGTTGAAGTTTACTGGTACAGTAAAATTGGTACCGTGAATGTTATTATGAAAATATTGATAACTTCAAATTACTAAAATTAAACAATATCAAAGCAATGCAAAAAAAAAGGGAAAAAAAAGCTTTAATATAAAATAACCTAAATCTTTAGCTTTCCAAAACTTGATTACTAGATCAGTGGTTGGGAAGAATAGTTATTTCCAATATTCCGATCAAATAAAAAAAAAACAGGAATTTAATTTAAGTTTTGAGCATATTAAAAACTTTAAAAGGCATTTTATTTGAATGTTTCCCTGACATAATGAAATGGTATTTGATGTAAAAAGCCGGACAAAAATATTGGCCGTGAAATCAAATTTAGTTGTAACTCAAATGTATTAATTGATTTAAACTGTAAATAAAAAAAAGATAATTCCTCACTAAATTATTACATGATTTACATTCATACTCAAAATCAGGAAACATATAAAATTCCTACCTATTCTTTGTACTGTTGTGTCACGTAATATTTATAACGCATTTTTTTAAAAACTATTTCCCGAAGAAAGTCCTTACATCACTAAAACTAATCCATAAATGACATGCCGAAAAAGGAAGTCATGCATCAATTATAAACACTGCACTGACAATGAAATTGGTTCTTGAATACAACCAATCAAGAGATCATTTGAGCCTTGAGCACTTTACAATATTCTAAGTTTGTAAGAGAATGATAATCCCTTTCTTCATGATAAGTACTCGCTAACGCTCGTACTTAATCACGAAGAAAGGGATTATCATTTTCTTACATATACTAAATTTGAGCGTTCCTGTGCTAAAAAAAAAAACAAATTAATTTTAGCTTTCCTGATAAAATAAAATACATGTATGAAGTTTGGACGCACGACATTTATAAAGTGTTAATTTCATTTACTCTTACTGGGTTGATACCTCAGGCTGGCGGGCTGTTAGTCCTCGAGGATATCATCAGCTCATTAGTTTGTGTTTTGGTACTACCATGAGTTTTAAGATACTTTCTTAAATTCGCCGTAGATAAATTTAGAAGTCATTATAAAAAACACTAATGTTCAAATTTCCATAGGTAAATTTGACCTTAGTTGAATTTGGCCATTCTCTTTAGGTCCTTTTTGGTCATTTAAAACCTTAAGTAAATGTTATTGCCGATGATTGTCACTCAATTATCAATATTCCTTCCTGTGAAGTTATAAAGTTAAGCATATTATGGAAAGTATCATATATTGATCTTTTCCTTGATATTGAACATATGTTCGACTTCAAGTTATAATCTATGACAAACGTGATGATCTAAACTTTCCAATTGTCAACTTCCCATTTATGAGCAGTAACATATCCTCTGTTTTATCGTATGGCGTTCATATATCTCAGTTAATACGTTACATTCTAGATCTTGCATGTTCACATTATACGAACCTCATAAACAGAAGTGTGTTCCTTACACAAAAACTGCTCCAACAAGGTTATGAGGAAGAACGATTGCAATCAACACTACATGCATATTACAGTCAACATCACGAATTGGTTAACCGATACGATGTGTCATTGTCTCAACTCATTATCGATATGTTTTAGCGGTCTTAGTTCTTTTGATACAAGTACATGCTTCGGATTTGTAATGTTACCGATTATGTCCTATCCCCGATTGTTACATTTTGCTTGGTTTGAATTCACATTCCCTCAGTTTGTGTCTTTGGTTTTTCTCGTTTTAATTGATTTACGGGATATGAACATCGGTAAACTACTGTCACCTTAATTTAAGAATGTTGACAATATGTTGAGACAAATTCAAACAGTATTAATATAAAGACAGGTATATGTGGTATGATAAAACAACTATCCACAGAGTTCAAATGAAAGTGAGCAATAATGGGTCACCGTATGGATTTGAACAATTAGTAAAACCCATACCATATAGTCAGCTCTAACAGGCCCAAACAGTAAAGATGTGAAACATTATACCGAGAAAACAAACAGCTTAATTTATAACAATTCAATTTACAAAAAAAAAAAACAACAAACATAACAGACATGAACCAACGACATCCACTGAATTACAGGCTCCTGACATAGGACATGTACATAAATGTGGCGGGCTTTAGCATATTTGTGAGCGCTGAACCCTTTCCCTAACATGGTAAAATTGTCTAACAGCAGAACATAATACACACCGTAAAAATCAATTGCAAATGGCTCAACTTTATATATCAGCATCGAGCACCAAAAAAAATTAAACAGACATAAAAAAATAGACACAAAAACCCGATTAAATAGTATTAGACTTACTGAAAGATTGTTCAAAAAGCCAATTTAACTAAAATTAGGTCATGTTTTCCAGACTAAAGTACGAATCGGCACAAATCCAACGAATTTAGTGTATAGACGGCATACATATTATGAAAAACTCATGCCATTGTATCATACCAAAAATTAAGTAAACAGGATGTAGGATCATGAATATTCACATGTGTACATATATTTAGTTATGTTTTAATTTTTCAAAAACTAAATCAATGTTATTCCATAGCACACAATATTTAGGGATTTTACTATTGAGTTAAATTGATAACTTTAAAGAAGAAGTTTATTCAAAGAATCAATTAATGAGGCAACATGGATCGTATTTAAATTTATGGGCTATAAAAAACTTCATTGTAAAATTAAGATGTGATATTTCGTACAAAATATCCATCCTGGTATCTATGAAGAGTCTTTTTGATAATAATTCTACAGGTGCAGCAACGTTTCCAATTCAAATCTTGTAACTATGAAATAATTTAACAAAAGTTTCTTGAATTTGCAGTAACAAAATCTCTGACTTATTAATTTACGTGCATTGAAAATCTAAAACGTAACTATAGGCACTGTATAGCGAAAAAATTTTGAAATAAACACACCATAAGAATGGTCCAAAGGAACATCACAGTAAAAAGCGGGAAATTAACAAAAAGGAACGAAAAATTGATTTTTTTGTAGTAAATTCTTGTAAAATAGTTTCCCGTGTGAAACAGAAATTAGGACAATCATTGTTGATTGCATTAGGTTTATTAAAAAGTTCCGCATTAAATGTTTAAAATATTGATTATTTCAAGCAAAAATATTATGAAGGTAAAAGTTTTTTTTTAATTTATCAATTGAAATAATTTAGACGGATTTTTATTCAGTTTTGCTATGAGCTGTGGTTCATATAACAATACAAGATAAAGTCCGCTATCAAAGGGGCGCAATTGATGCTCATAGATATGCAAAAAACCTGTCGATAAACTATCGCAAGAACTTTATAGATGATTTCAAGGAGAACGTGTACAGCTTAAATCATCTCATCACAGTTCTAAGTATAGCAGCATATCTCCGTTTTTCATTACAGAAGAAGGTTTTATATAAGTTGCAAAAAATAAATCTGCAATCAGTGCAATTTTTCAAGAACCATTTAATTGAATAAGAGAATTAAATTAAGATTTCAGAAAATGTGTTGAGGCATATTTAGACAGTGTTAAAAAAATCCGAATAATTTATAGAGGCGTTTTGAGAAAAAATTGAAAAAATTAGTACTTTTCAGAATGTATAAGTTGAGACAAAATTTTGTCATTTCAGACTTTGATGACTTTGTAGTGGAAGGTAATATCAAAGTGTAAATGAAAGGGTAAATTCAGTAAAACAAAAATGCGTCATCAAGGACCACCCATTTGGGGGAAAGCTTTC